CATCCGGACTATTGGAGTAACTGGCTACGCGGCTAGAAGAGCGGCTGGAGCAATTGACCCACGGGCGACTGGAGGAACAGGCTCACAGGCTACCGGAGCAAGGGCATACGGACTACAGGAGCTGCTGGCTTTATGGCGGCTACCTCCTTTCAACCTCCCCCCATTGTCCCACACCCCATTTACACACCCCCTTCTGCATACCTAGCGCCACTCCCTCGGCTCCCCCACACCCTCCCCCCCTCAGCGGCAGCTGCAGCAGTGGGAGAGAGAGGAGGAGGAGGAGCAGCAGATTACTCACACCCATCACCCCCATACCCGCCACCCCCATGCCCTCCCCTCCACGGCTGCACATGCAGCAGGGAGAGGAAGGAGAAGGGGGGGCGGGGAAGAAGCTGCGCGGGCGACAGCAGGGGCAGTGCAGGTGCGCGCGCGGCAGGGCAGGAGCACGCGGGCCTGGCGCGGGCTGTACGGGCCGCGCGCGGGCCTGGCGCGGGTCGTACGGGTTGCGCTCGGGAGGGCAGAAACCGTCGCACGTTCCGGGGCGCGCGACGGGCAGGAAACCGTCGCACGCCCGGGGCGCACGACGGGCAGAAAACCGACGCATTAGCGGAAGCAAAGGGTGGGCGCAATGAGGCAGGTCCTAGGAGGAATCTGGCTCTGATAGCATGTCAAAACAGTGGCTAGACCTAGGTATCCATAGCTAGGGTTGAAGGTACTAGCATGAGTGTCGAGATAGTTGAGCAAAGGAGAAAGGTGATTCACTAATGAGCAAGATACAAGATATAGTGCTATGGACAAGGGAATGAGGTGCACCACCAATGTACCTTTACACTAACTACTGCTACAAGCAGTTTATATAAGAAATATATTTCAACAGGCCTGGGGGGATATGAGCGCACTCACCCGCTATACAAACAAGCCCTTTTATCCAAGTGGTTAGTGGCTGAGAATCTGACATGGTATCATAGCGAAAGTTTCGGGTTCGAATCCTGGTGTGTGCACCTCGGGCATCCCAGTGCGAGGGGGTGTCAGAGGTCCACTGGTGATCCCCGATTGATTCTAGGGAAGGGTTACAGGCACGTCGGCCTGGGGGTTATGAGCGCTCTCCCCCGCTACATAAACAGCCCCTTTTATCCCAGTGGTTAGTGGCTGGGATTCTGACATGGTATTAGAGCGAAGGTCTCGAGTTCGAATCCCGGTGTGTGCACCTCGGGCATCCCAGTGCGGGGGGGTGTCAGAGGTCCACTGGAGATCCCCGATTGATCCTAGGGAAGGGTTACAGGCACGTTGGCCTGGGGGGTTATGGGCGCACTCACCCGCTATACAAACAAGCCATTTTATCCCAGTGGTTAGTGGCTGGGATACTGACAGTAGCAGCAGTAGCGAGTGCGGGTAGGGGCACTCGCGGGTAGGCAGCGCGCGCAGGCAGCGTGCGCACGGGTAGGCAGCACGCGAGTGGGCAGCGCATGTGGGCAGGCGGCGCTCGCGAGCAGGCAGCGCGGGTGGGCAGGTGGCGCTCGCGAGCAGGCTGCGCGCGCGAGCAGGCGGCGCTCGCCAGCAAGCAGCGCGTGTGGGCAGGCGGCGCTCGCCGGCAGGCAGCGCGCGCGGGCAGGCGGCGCTCGCAAGCAGACAGCCGCGCGGGCAGGCGGCGCTCGTGAGCAGGCAGTGCGTGCGGGCAGGCGGCGCTCGCGGGCAGGCAGCGTGCGTGCACGGACAGATAGCGCACGTGCAGCAGGAAGCGCGTAAGGGCATGCACCGCGCGTGACAGCAGGGCAGCGCGGAACGATCGGTGGGCCCTAATTTTGGGCATAAGGTCTAGGAACTCCCTAGCCTCTGAAACCATGTAAGAATCTAGTGAGGAAAATGAAAGGTGTTAGGTCAAGGATGGGGTACAAGATGAGTATCAAGAGATATGCTGTACCCCTAAGGGGTAGCTCACTACATGCTAAACAACAGGCCCTCAGAAGTCAGACTATTTTCTATGATTTGGCAAAAAAAACTCTGATATTTCAGATTTTTTTTTTCCAGTGTACTCTGAAAATTTCAGACTTTTTAGGGCCTCAACTCTCTAAGTTTCAGACTTTTTTAAGGCTAACTCTGAAATTTCAGAGTTTTCCGGGAGTGTACTCTGATCATTCAAAGTACAAACACGATCTTGACTGGTGATTCGGACTTCATGGGTCACAGCAGATTTACATTTTCAACGCAAAATCGCCTTGACATAGCAAATCCTCGCCTTGCAACACAAAATTTTGCCCAATCACAGCAAAATCGGCCTAATCGGCCTAACGTCACAGATTTGCGCTGTCAGAGCACAACAACTTCATCCAGTCACAAAGCAATTCCACCTGACATTGCAGATTCACCGTTTCACACCACAAGATTCGCCCTGACACAAAAACTTGCCCTGCCAGAGCATGTTCTCCCATAAATCCCCTTAGTCTTACACGTTTCGGTATCAAATGAATGAAACATTGAATACATTGATTTTGAATGTTCAGATTTTTTTTTTTTTTAACTCTAAAATTTCAGCCTTTTTTTTTATGCCAACTCTGAGAGTTCCAGACTAAAACTGTGTACCGTATTCCCCCGGATAAAACACCCACCCCGAATTGTACACCCCCGGGTAGCTTGTGCGGGGAGGGTGCTATATTTGACCCCGTTGGTACTATACCCCCCCTTTTGGGGTGATTTTTCATAACACCCCCCTTTCCATATAGATTTATTATTATAATAGCTGATAACGAGTACGTGCAAGTATGGGAGGATGCGAAAATCCCTCCCTCTACGAAATTACACGGAACTTTCAAATGAAATCTGCCGAGATTCCCCCCCTCCCACAATTTCGCTGTCGCCAGGCTGGCGAATCTTTCGTGGTCAAGTGGCCAAAGAGGTGCCACATGCCATCTCCAAGGTGGTCAAGATATCATTTGCCGAAACTCGGGTTCCCGCCTCTGAGTGTGCTAGTTAACCAACTTCGAAAACACCGAAGCTGTCCATTTATAAACATCCTTATGTGAAAAAATGTCATATGAATAGACCCGGGTATTATAAAATATTTTCCGTTGAGGAGACCCCCCCCATTTTTTCCCAGTGGTTATCATAATACATGTTAGAATCCATAAAATCGCTAGAGTAGCGGAAATACTCTAGGAAGATAACGACGTCCCTACGGCGGGGCAATTGGTCACTCAGAGGTAGCACTTCTAGCCTGGCACATGGTGCCATTGCGGCGGCCGAGGGAAAGCCGGACACAAGGATTCAAATTGTGTAATAAGAACAATGCCATACATTCTGTTATATAGGAAACATAGCAGGCAGGCAGTTACCAAGGCGCAACTGTATTACAGTTGCGCTGTAACAGTTCGGTTGCCCTGTTACAGTCGCGCTGGCGCGACTGTTCAGCTTCGGCAAGGGCGCGGTATTCTGCCGCGCCTTGCAGGGCAGTTTCGTGCACTGTAGACGCTGCCTCCTGCTCTCGATTCGACCCTTCAGCTGCCACTAGGGTCGCAACCACTGTACGCGGTCGCGCCCTGTAGTTCGAGTCTTGGGTCTGTGACACTCGATATGGAGAGCTTCGGTTCTGCACTTCGAACAGTGCAGTGTAATAAAACATTACGTAAAAACATATTCGCAACAATACCCCCGGGTGTTTTATCCGGGGGAATACGGTACTAGTCTGACGAATCAGACAGGCCAAAAACGAATCTGAGGGCCTGCTAAACAAGCATATGGAATATAACTTTGACACTCGTGACATAATGGTCGACCCTAAAGTGTTTTTAGAACATGTGATTAGGCTGGGTATTGCGTCCATAAACACGCACGACAGTTTCAAGAACTTGGAAAAGCGCATGGCTGTGCAGTAGGTCTGGTGTCGTGTTGGATCCGAGTGTCGAATTTCAGAAGTCTCCATAGCAGGCCCTCAGATTCGTTTTAGGCCTAGTACACAATTTTAGTCTGAAAATCTCAGACTTAGTAAAAAAAAAAGGTTGAAATGTTAGAGTGTCTTAAAATAAAAGTCTGATAATTCAAAATCAATGTATTAAATGTTTCATCGAAAGTGTATTCAATGTTTCATTAATCTGCTACCGAAACATGCTACACTAAGGGGATTTTCGATAAAACATGCTCTGACAGGGCAAACATATGTGTCAGGGCGAATCTTGTGGTGCGAAAAGGCGAATGTGCAATGTCAGGGCGATTTTGCTGTGATTGGGCGAAAATTGTGGTGCTCTGACAACGCAAATCTGTTGTGTCAGAGCGATTTGCCTATGATTGGGCGAAAATCTTGTGATGTAAGGCTTGGATTTGCTGTGTCAAGGCGATTTTGCTTTGGCAGTGCGAATCTGCTGTGACCCGTAAGTCCGAATCACCAGTCAAGGACGCGTTTGTACTCTGAATGATCAGAGTACACTCTCAGAAAACTCTGAACTCTCAGAGTTAGCCTTAAAAAAAGTCTGAAAATTACAGAGTTGAGGCCCAAAAAAGTCTGATTTTATCAGAGTACACAGGAAAAAAAATCTGAAATATCAGAGAAAAAAGCCCAAATCAGAGAAAAAAGTCTGACTTCTGAGGGCCTGCTCCATAGTGTGAAGATTTTTTAGAGGAAAGTTGTGGAACCTCAGATTTGTAATTTATAATGAAGCATGAAGGAATCATAGGTAACCCTTTACAGATTAGTCTAATTAAAGTTAGACTAATTGAAGTCACCCGGTACATATTAGGGTACATTCCGCTGTGGACATGCGTCCCAATCGATGTGTCCCAATCGGGTGTACCGCTCCGAACCGCACTAAACCAGAGAAGCGAAAATTTTGAAAATGGGGTGTAATTCGGTGTAATAAGATTCAGTGCGGTAGAATCGATTGGGACACATCGATTGGGACGCATGTCCACAGCGGAATGTGCCCTTAGTCTAACTAAAATGAAGTCACCCTTTACCTCAGATTCGCAAGTTAGTCCAACTAAACCGCTTTACAAATCACTAAAATCTAGGGTCACATCGAGTGCGGCCTGTACCTCCGGTTTTTCACAAACAGTGTTGACAACACCTGGAGCAGCACACTCTCATTGAGTGGCTTCTGCACTGCACCATCCATGCCAGCCTCAGTGGCACGGGCAGCAACAGTGCTGTCCACATCTGCTGACATGGCCACCACATCAATGCGTTTTTGCCACCACCAACCTCCTTCTCCACCCTCTACCCCCTCCGTCAGTTCTGGCATGCAATGCACCCCCTCTTCTACCTGTTCTTCCCGGGCCATCTGAGCAGCGGCCTCGAAGGCGCGCAGGCGGGCGGTGGTTTGAAAGCCATCAAGGCCGGGCATGTGGAGGTCCATGAGCACGAGGCGGAAGGAGTGGCGCGCCTGCAGCAGGCGCAGCGCTGCCTCGCCCGACTCTGCCAGCGCCACCTCCGCCCCGTACCGCGCCAGCGTGCTCGCCGCCACCCGCCGGTTGATGGCATTGTCGTCCACCACCTGGTGGATAGAGAGGGTACAGGGAACGGTGCAGAGGGGCTGAGAACGGTTGATGGCGTTGTCGCCCACCACCTGGTGCAGCACAGGGGGTAGAGGGAGGATGAGAACGGAGGCATGGAGATGAGGTTTTCGTCCAACACCCAGTGCGTGCGGGGAGTTACAAGGGGGGTGCGGAGGGCATGAGCACGGAGGCCCGGAGATAGCGCTGTCGTCCACCACCTGGTGCAGCGAGCAGGGGTGGAGAGGGTGCCAGAACGGTGGATGGAGATGGCATGCGTTTGATGGCGTTGTCCACCAGATGGGCAGGCAGAGCAAGGGGCATGACCAAGGGAGCAGAGGGGATGAGAGAGAACGGAGGCACGGAGATGGCATTGCCGTCCATCATCTGGGCAGGCATAGGAAGCAAGTTTGAGAGGGTGAGAGAGAGAAGACAGGAGGATTGCATAGCCGCCTCATCCACCACCTGGTGAAAGAAGGCACTGGGGGAGGAGAAGGGAAGAAGGGGGAGAGGGAGGGCAGGGGGCTGCGAATGAATGGATGGGGATGGCATGCGGTTACCATATTGTCGTCCCCCACCTGAGTGAGGGCAGCAAGGGAGAGCGAAGAGGATACAGGGGGAAGAGGGAGAGAGAGTGTGAGACCAAAGTATGAGGTGCAGCATGGTGTGGTGCAGCACGGTGCGGTGGAGCACGGTGAGGTGTGGCACGGCATGGTGCAGCGCGCAGTTGAACGAGGCACACAGATGGAGAGAACCTGCATGCGGTTTGACACATCAGAGTGCACCACCAGGGCAAGGAGATGGGGGAGGGTTGCATGCAACAAGGGTGGCGAAAGGGAGATGATGGAGGGATGCTGGAGAAAGGAAAAGGTTCTCACATGCACATCCAACTGCATGACCCTTTCTTGCACCTCACCAGGATGGCCATGCCGTGTAGCATCTCCTTTAGAGACTCCTTGGCACTCTGCCCAGCGCCGCTCACCCACTCCACTCCCACCCCATCCCCCTGCACCCCCCGCTCTCCCTGTGCTGCTATCGCCCGTGTGTGCCTTGTGAGTCCACCAGCCTCCAAATCCGCCTCCCACACCTCCCTCCCACTCTCTCTGCGCATCGCCCCTTCACTGCTCCCCCCTGCTGCCACCTGCTCGCACCCGTCCTCTGGCCTCGTCGTGCTGCAGGCTGTGAGCGGAGCAGCAGTGGGGGCAGTGGGATCTCGAGTGCTCAGGCAGGCAACATGGGCAGCAGCGGCAGCGGTAGCTTCAGCGGCAGCAGCAGGTACAGCGGCGAGAGGCAGAGCAACATGCAGCGTGGTGCCGCGGCCCAGCGCGCTGATCAGCCCCATGCTGCCGCCCATCAGCGATACCTGTGGGCGGTGACACAGGAGACAAGGGGTTTGAGAGACAGGTGGAGGGGGTGAATTGGGAAACAGATGGGGGCGCGATGGGATGGGATGGGACGGGACGGGACGGGACGGGACGGGATGGGACGGGAGGGGACGGGATGGGACGGGATGGGACGGGATGGGACGGGATGGGACGGGATGGGACGGGATGGGACGGGATGGGACGGGATGGGACGGGATGGGACGGGATGGGACGGGATGGGACGGGATGGGACGGGATGGGACGGGATGGGTAGCACGATTGACGCCGCTGTGGACACTGCTAGAGGAGGCAACTGCTTTTGGAGGTTCTGTTGGAATGCAGTTTGATATCCGTTACAATAAAGAGTGTATTCAGGGCTCACGTCTCTCCCCTCCTGCAATTCAGCCTCTTCTATCATTTCCAAATAAATCTACTTGTACTCTGCTTCAGTATTCAAACCAAAGCAAAGGGCAAGGAATTGGAGCGTGTAATCCAAGCCAAGGCACGTACCAGTTGTTTCGATATGTGGAGACTCAAGCCGCTACCTCCATGCGAATGCCTCTTGTGATGAACCTGGTGGTGGGTGGGTTGAAACAAAGGGCGACACAACGAGGTGGGCTCCGCGATTTAGACAGAAGGTGCCAAGCGTGTAACATTCTCAGCATCAAATGATGCACTGTCGCGCTATTAACATTTGGCCAGCAGCTAAAGTGTGAATAGCACATCAGCTAAGGTGAGGTTGTATCATATTTTGCTTCTGTTTTCTTACTTTCGTTTGCTTGCTGGAGTGTACTGTACTATCTTTCCAGAACCGAGTCGCTGGGGAAGCCGAGGAGGTTGATGGGAAGGAGGCGAATGCAATTCCAGCCAGGAATTCAATTCCGACCGAGCCAGGCTGGAAAGGCGGTGCATGGCCAGTGGGGAGGGGAGTTCCAGCTAGCACCCTGGGGCTATCGCGATCAGCCTGGCTGACTCGCGCTTAGGCACTAGAGCTAGCGTGTAGTAGAAGGAACCTAGACAGGAGGACTGGGGGGGGATGTAGGCTGGGTTAGCGCTCGAGGTCATCGCTTTTTGGTTGCAAGACAAGACTCTCGCACCTCCCCTCAGGGAACAAAGATGGGAGTGAGGGAGTTCAGCGAAGTGTGAGAGAAGTTGTTTCTTTTTGTTTGTTTCTAAGGGAGTAACAGGGAGGAGGGGAGAAGGATGGGACAGTAAGAGGGCGCAAAGATGGGAGTGAGGGAGTTCAGAGAAGTGTGAGAGCAGCCGAGAAGTACTTCACGACAGCACGCAAAATACAGATAGGAACACATGCCTCAACACATACTCAGAGCTCACCTGCATGAGGGGCAGGGCTCACCTGCATGAGGGGCAGGGCTTACCTGCATAAGGGGCAGGGCTCACCTGCATGAGGGGTAGGGCTCACCTGCATGAGGGGCAGGGCTCACCTGCATGAGGGGTAGGGCTCACCTGCATGAGGGGTAGGGCTCACCTGCATGAGGGGCAGGGCTCACCTGCATGAACGCCTGAAACACGTCGCGCTGCTCCTCCTCTGCGATGCCACACCCCGTGTCCTCACATGTTACCAGCACCACCACCCGTCCTCCATAATGCCCCTTAGGTTTAGCCCCCCTGAATCCCGGCATGGCAGCCCTGCGCCACCACCGCCTCACTGCACCCAACCATGCGCCCTCCCCATTACCCTCCCCACTGCCCTCCCCACTGCCCTCCCCACTGCCCTCCCCACTGCCCTCCTTACTGCCCTCCCCGCCAGAACCGCCCACCACTCGTGCTTTCGCTGCCTCGCATGAAGCCTCACCAGCGGCCATGGCATCCGCACTTGCACCATCCCCGCCGCTCCCTCCTTCAGGATTTCCACCCCTGCACCACCCCTGCGCCGCTGCTCCTTTCTCCCGCCCCACCCGCTCCTCCAAGCGCCCACAGTATTGCCTCGGCCCTGCCCGTGCAAGCGGCCGCTGCCCCATGTGCTGCCCGAAGCAAGGCACCACAACCGCACACTTTGCACGCTTGCGTGGTGCAGTCGCAGCACTGGTGGTAGCAGCGTTGGCGGCAGTAGCAGCAGCAGCACCAGCAGCAGTGAGAGCAGCAGCAGGGGTGCGGCAGGGAGTGGTCTCAGCAAGGAGGCAGCCGAGTTTGAGGAGGTGGGCGGGGATGTGGGTGTCGGGGGGAAGGCACTGCAGTCGCACACACACGCCTCCACTGCTCGTGAACTTGATGGCGTTGTCTGGGGGGGAGGGCATCAACACAAGCACATACGGAGTCCAAGTTGCCAACTCACAAAGGCGACAACTTTATGGCGTTGTCTGGGGGGAGCAGCAGGCAGAGGGAAACAGAAGATGCAAAATCCTTCTGTCCGTGTCTGCAGCGCCACAGCATGACATTCGAGCGAAGGGATGGACTTGGCGTCAGCGTGCATACCAACAATGCTGCCCCCCACGTGGCTCACCGACAATGCTGCCTCCCACGTGGCTCACCGACAATGCTGCCTCCCACGTGGCTCACCAACAATGCTGTCAACCACTTGCTGCAGGCGCAGGTAGTCCCCCTCCAGCACTTCCGGCACACTCGAATCCACATGCCACGTGACTGCGCGTGGTGCACCGCAGCAGGTACAGGCACAGAACAGGAATTGGTCACAGGATATGGTAGGAAGTGCGGATGAAGTAAAAACGGAGGATAAGTGAATACATTCATATGAATGCGTTCATGCACGTGGGTGTATGTTTGTGCGAGTGTATGCGCAGGTGCATGTGCGAGTGCATGTGCCAGTGCATGTGCGAGTGCATGTGCGAGTGCATGTGGGAGCGCATGTGGGAGCGCATGTGCGAGTGCATGTGCGAGTGCATGTGCGAGTGCATGTGGGAGCGCATGTGCAAGTGCATGTGCGAGCGCATGTGCGAGTGCATGTGCGAGTGCATGTGCGAGTGCATGTGGGAGCGCATGTGCGAGTGCATGTGCGAGTGCATGTGCGAGCGCATGTGCGAGTGCATGTGCGAGTGCATGTGCGAGCGCATGTGCGAGTGCATGTGCGAGTGCATGTGCGAGCGCATGTGCGAGTGCATGTGCGAGTGCATGTGCGAGTGCATGTGCGAGTGCATGTGCGAGTGCATGTGCGAGTGCATGTGCGAGTGCATGTGCGAGTGCATGTGCGAGTGCATGTGCGAGTGCATGTGCGAGTGCATGTGCGAGCGCATGTGCGAGTGCATGTGCGAGTGCATGCATGCATGCACCACTCACACTGCAGCCCAGCTTGGGCAGCTCGGGCACCGTGCTGCTGCAGGGCGGCCAGCAGCCATGCACGCGGGTGGAAGGGCAGTTGCTCCAGCTGCATGCAGCCCGCCTCCACCTTGGAGATGTCAAGCACCGTGTTCACCAGCAGCAGCACCCGCTCTGCCTCCTCCGCTGCCATGCACACGTCTTCCCTCATCTCGCGCTCCATGTGCCCCTCCACCAGCTGCTCCAGCATGCCTGCCGTGCAGCACACAGGCAGCAGCGAGAACCAATCACCGCGCATTTGCGCATTCGTTTCGGTTAGCTTGCCATTTCAGTTCAGCCAGCGGAATACATAAAGATACGTTTCACACTTCCGCCCGCCTAAATGACGTTTGAGTCAACTCAAAAGTCAGTTCTGCCCGCCTCGCTCCACAACACTGTGGCTACTTTACTTTGTCTCTCCGCTCGGTGGCATAATGGTGCTTTGCATGCTGACGCAGTTCATATCAAGAGTGAAAACTCTCCACGCCCGCCCACACCACGCCATACGCATAACCCTCCAGCTCCACCCCACACCAGCTCCACCCCACACCAGCTCCAGCGGGCTGTTTTTCAGCAAGGCAAGCGCATGAGTGCTATGATTAAAGAAAGAGCCACACTGCACTCGAGCCATGGTCGGCTCAACTCTGACATCCGAGTGTCAAGTCGGGCTCCGGGCGGCATTGGCTCGACCCGACTCGACACAAAGTTGAACCTGGACGGGCCGGCCACCAAGTTGGGTCTAACCCGAACCGACCCAGGTTGAACCCTTTTTGGGCTCAAGCAGCCCTTGGCCTGACCTGATCCCACACATTGGAGCCAACCGCAATTCACCCCGAACCAGGCGCTTTGCAACCGACTGGCTTGAGTTCGAACCGTCCCCTCCATATAGTAGTCTAATCGCCAACAACTTACCAGTGGATGGGAGGATTCGTATTGCCGGAAACTGTGGTTCCAACCTCGAGGCTTTGCAAGCCCAGTGGGGATCCTTGTGACTCGGATCGCACGGTCCCCGTCAACCTGACAAACCGGCCCAGCTCATAATGACGGCAGCAACACGGCTTCCACCGGCTCGGTTCGACCCTGGCCTTACCCAGCCCCAAGGCAGCCCATCGAGGGCCCTTGACCGTGATGCCTGCCTGCCTGCTGTCCAGACGCACCACCCCCATTTGGAGCATACCTTTTAACCCGATGATCGGGGTGCGCAGCTCATGCGAGGTGTTGGCGATGAAGGCGCTCTTGTTGCGCTCCTTGCGCTGCGTGCTCTCCTTCATGCCCTCCAGTGCCGCCGTCTTCCTCCTCGCCCTCCGCGTGTTGCGCACCACGCTCACTGCCATGCCCGCCAGCAGCGCCGCCACCACCACGATGACCACGCCCAGCACCACCGCCACCCAACTGCGCTCTTCGTCTGCCCCTGCAAAGCTGCACGAGGGGACAAGGGGGAGATGGAGAGACACGCCATGGGGAGCGGAGAGCAGGGCCAAGGAGGGTTGGGGACGAAGAAACAAGAGACACAAAGAGCGAAGGAGAGGGTGGGCGAGAGACAAAATAGATTGGGGTAATCAAGTTATTACATAGCTGCACGAAGGAATGTCATATTTTTGGCATGATAGGTATTTATAGAGAAAACATAATATAAATATATATAGAGATACATATAATCTGTGAGGACAATGTGGATAACCAACCTCGTCACTTGAGAGAAAGGTAGATGGGTTACCGGCACCAGGCTTGGAAGGTTCGAGAGGAGTCAGTGAGGTTGATCTGGTGCACGGCCTTGTGGCGGTGAGGCTGCAGCATGGCGTCTGTGGAGGGCGGAATGACCTTCGACACCTGCTGGAAGTCGCCTTGCGGCAGCTCGCCCACCCCGTACAGCAGGCGCGGGCCCGACGGGGGCGACGCGAGGGTGTCCGTGACATCGTAGATCTCAAGCGTGTAGTTCACGTCTGGTGAGGCATGGGCATGGAAAGAGGAGGTCAGGTCAGAATGAGTGAGATCGTCAGCAACGAGAAAGATGGGGTTTGTTTTTCCACATAGCTGACAAACAAAAACAACAACAGCAGGGGCAGTACTACATTATATATGCTTTGGTTGAACCTACATATTCTGGAAATCTGTGCACCCATACTTTCATTCATTCCACACAACCAACGTCCAGCATGGCAGCATGAGAGCATGGCAGCATGAGAGCATCGCAGCATGAGAGCATGGCCGTCTAAAGCACCAGGCTTATTCCAAACGACACAGAGGGAATTCACAGCAACGCTGCTGCAAGGCAGTCCAGCGTGTGCATGCATGCGGGCGAGACGCACCCTGCAGCACGTCGAGGATGATGGCGCTGGCGAGGCGCTTCAAGTCCACCGACGCCCCCATGGCTCCCACCAGCGCATGCTGCCGCTCTGCCAGTGGCGACTCTGTCGACACGCCCGCTCGGAACACCGGGAACGCCATGCCTGCGTGGTTGGTGATCGGGCGACGACGCAGCACAGCGCAGAGAGCAGCGCAGAGAGCAGCGCAGAGAGCAGCGCAGAGAGCAATGGCGTGGAACAGCAATGAACACCCAGCCATGCACGGATTTCTCCACCCCTGACATGAACGATAGCCCATGCTGCAGTTGTACATGAGCCATGGGGCTTCACTGACCGTTTCCTGCCTGTCATAAGGCCATTCACAGCCCTCCCACTCCACTCGCACAATCCTGTTATTCACACCACAGCGCCATTTCCCATCCACCCATGCTGCTGCCCCCATTGCCCCACCCACCCATGCTGCTGCCCGCATTGCCCCACCCACCCATGCTGCTGCCCCCATTGCCCCACCCATCCATGCTGCTGCCCGCTTGCCCCACCCACCCATGCTGCTGCCCGCTTGCCCCACCCACCCATGCTGCTGCCCGCTTGCCCCACCCACCCATGCTGCTGCCCGCTTGCCCCACCCACCCATGCTGCTGCCCGCTTGCCCCACCCACCCATGCTGCTGCCCGCTTGCCCCACCCACCCATGCTGCTGCCCGCTTGCCCCACCCACCCATGCTGCTGCCCGCTTGCCCCACCCACCCATGCTGCTGCCCCCATTGCCCCACCCACCATGCGAGTGGCAGCCAGCCACCCAGCCAGGCACCCACCGATGCCAGCGTTGCCATTGTCAAGCACGTAGGGCGTGGTGAGCCACTTGTCCGCGCGCTCCACCATGCCGCCCAGCTGCGGGCCGTACGAGGGGTTGGTGAGGGCGTCCTTGCAGGGCGCGCTGGTGAGCAGCGTGGCGAGGGGGCTGATCTCCGTGTAGCCGTAGCGGATCACCATGTACCAGTCCGCTGGGGGGCGCGGCCGCCCCACCATGTCCACCAAGCCGCACTGCATCTGCCGCTCGTACGCCGCGCTGCAGCACACGGCACAGCACACATGGGCGGCACACGAGGGCAGATGTCATGGATGCTTGGCTTCAGGTTGGGTTCAAGCTCACACTAGTGAATGTGCGAGTGTGCGTGTGCGTGTGCAAGTGCGAGGGCGCGTGCGAGGCGAGTGCGAGTACGTGCGTGCGTGCGTGTGTGCGTGCGTGCATGCGTGTGTGCGTGCGTTTGTGTGTGTTGTGATACGAGGAAAAGGGGTGGGTGTGCAAGAGAGGGGGATAGAGAGAGGTGTAAGAATCTCAGAGAAGGCAGGCTGGAAACGGACGTGAGCAGGACAGCACTGACCTGTCTGTGTGGTTGAGGGGGACGAGGTAGATGATACCATGCACCCATGGCCGCGCGGCGACAGTGGCGTGCACGTACTGCACGTACCGCGCCTGGCTCATGCACTCGCCCACGCCCCAGGGGTTCTCCCGCACCCCCCCAAATACTGTCGCCAGCCCTGCCAGCGCCTGGTGCGTGCATGCGGGAGCAGAGGTGCATGCGGGAGCAGAGGTGCATGCGGGAGCATAGGTGCATGCGGGAGCAGAGGTAAAGGGACGACAGATGAAAAGGGATAGAGGTGTGAAGTGAATGCGTGCTGTGCGTGTGCTCTAAATGCATGTGCTGCGCATGTTTTGTGAATGCATGTGTGCATGTGTTGTGAATGCATGTGCGCATGTGTTGTGAATGCATGTGTGCATGTGTTGTGAATGCATGTGCGCATGTGTTATGAATGCATGTGTGCATGTGTAGTGAATGCATGTGTGCATGTGTTGTGAATGCATGTGCGCATGTGTTGTGAATGCATGTGCGCATGTGTTGTGAATGCATGTGCGCATGTGTTGTGAATGCATGTGCGCATGTGTTGTGAATGCATGTGTGCATGTGTTGTGAATGCATGTGTGCATGTGTTGTGAATGCATGTGCGCATGTGTTGTGAATGCATGTGCAATGGCGAGCATAAGCACGGATGAGGTACGAGCCCTGCCTGTCGCACGAGAGCAGCTGGTGGTCGCCAGCTGTTCCGCCGTCCCTGATTCACGATCGCAACGCAATTTCGGAATGCTCTCGAGATGCAACGAAAACAGGCGACGGCGCTCTGAAACAGGCTCTGCAGGCCGGGCGAGTCATTGGCGCTACGCGCACGTCACGTGGTCGGCATGAACGCAACCTAGTCAACACGACTCTTGGCCGCCACGTGCGCGTCTCGCCTACTGCGACTGCAGGAGACTGACTGCGATACAATACGGCGATTTTCCGATTCCAGTTGGGATCTTGAGGGGAACTATGGGGTAACCTCACGTAGCAGGATACCCCAAGGCAGCCCTCAATTTCGAACCAATTTCGGCGTTCGAAATTTGGGATGACTGCACGTGGTCTACCTGCACGTGGTCGGGCGTCTACCTGCACGTGGTCGGGCGTCTACCTGCACGTGGTCGGGCGTCTACCTGCACGTGGTCGGCGGTGAGCATAAATTGCTGCTGCAGCGAGCGCGCGCGACCGGCGCACCAGGTGTCGAGCTCCGCCTTGCGATTGTCGTCGAAGACCTTCTGCACCCTCCACGCCACCAGCCCCGCCAGCACGCCCGCAAGCCCCATCCACACCACCACCGCCGCCACCTCTCGAGAAACTCTCATTATCGCACCCGGCCGCAGATGACGTTAGGGCGAAGTCAGGTTATACATTTCTCAAGCGTTTTCAGTTCTTGTATTGTGGTTCAGGACGGTCCAGCAAGGTGAAAAGCGGTTCGCGGCTTGTACCGCTCTGCACCGTGTCGAAACAAAGTTAACCGCAGTAGTCATCCAGAAGGTTGTACAACCTGACCTCGCCTTTAGTGATATCTTTTTGCTGGGGCTATCACTCGCACCGGGCCTACGAGCTACCGAGGAGCTCGGAACTGCGCTATCGTTACCATCGATGGCTACGCGTCGCGGCAAGCAAAAGCGTGCTTCACATTTCAGACGATGAATCATGCAGCTCGAGCAGACTGAGGGTTTCATCGTACCACAGCGACTCCTGGGAAGGAACCATGCATAGCCCACTGACAGATGCTGTTGCGGATGAATGCCACCCTGGTCAGCCATAGGTCGCGTGAGGAAGGTTGCGCTGGGGAATCCCTTGTTTCCTTGCGTGCACAGCGCATGTAGGTGAACAACTGGCAGCAACCCGCTCAAAAAATTCATGGGGAATGCTTGCTGCGCCTAGGGGTGTGGGAGTTGAACAAAATTCTTCCCACAATCCACAGTCTCGAATTCTGGTACCTTTGGGTAGTGGAACCCCAGCTTTCACGAACCATTTCATTCCATCCTTGCACCCACCCCCAGCATTTTCACAACCCTAAACTCGGACCTCTCTGTTTCTGCCTTGGAACATGAAGGCGGTGGGGTAGAAGCCTCTTCTTGAAACTTGCGGACCACCTGAATCTGAAACTTTTAACTCAGAATGAAACCCGAGGTCCAGAGGAACAATGTTACGTGGAGTCGAGAAACTTTCGTGCCACCAGGGACTTGCCGCCACCACCAGAGCGATCGTTGAAGGTAGGACGCTGTTACGAGGTAGAGGAGATCGCGTGAAATTGTACCTAGGTTGATTGTGTCTGATCGGATCGGATCGTTTTGATCTGAGGCGATCTGCGATCTTTCGTGGGCCAAGGAATCCGGCGATTTAATTTCGCGGAAACCTGTGAGCACCACTAGAGCGCTGGAGCGACGTCCCTTCCACGGTAACAAATTCAGCGAACATCCTGCGTCGGGCAATTATATTGTCGCCGACCTGTCATCTGCAGTTCGCCCATTCTTCCACGACAGCTGTACTTCCAGCAGCAATGGAGGGATAAGACCTTGGACTTGTTTTGAAAAAAAAAAATGTTCCATAAATGGACACTTGTGTTTCCAATATGGTGTCGCCCATTTATCTAAACAATCTTTGAGTATTCGAACAATGAAGTAGAATTTTTTCAAGTTTGAATCTACGCGAAATTGGTCCATATTACACGTCTAGGCGACTGTCGTAATTTTCGCACCGGTAGAACTGCGGCTCAGGTTCAAAATTGGAAATCTTGTTCCAGCGCCATTGAACAACAATCACACCAACCAACGCTTCTCACAAATATGACTATTACGTACAGAGTAGTAGTCATTCGTAGGAATACCCGCCTGCTATTTCCTAGCATTTGGAATACTCTGTAGAGGCTATCAACAGCTCTTCGTAAGAGTCGCCTACATGCAGTTAGCGACTTTGATTTCCCTCCTTATTGAAATAGGGAATGAGGATATGTTATGCAGGCCGATCGTCAAAACCAGAGAGAGTGTTCGAATGATTTAATTAAATCATTGCACACTCATGTATTCTCTGACTGTTTCGGAATTAACAGAGTTGCTTTCGACAACAAGGTGACACCCTCGATGAGAAAGAACGGGGACAGACGTCGAGTCTTGCTGATCGAAATGTGTATTGCAATGACTCTAGTACATTTTTAGACGGCAGCAACCTTCAGGCAACTCAAATTGCAGTCTCGTGTCGTACCACTGCACGATACACCTAACCCACGCTAATATAAAAAACTTCACACCGAGCCGGAATTTTGCCACTTGCGCAGGCGATATTTGTGTAGTGAATCAGCACCTAGTTGTTCATGCTAACGGGGCGGAATCCTTGCAGTTCAACTGAAATTCAATCATTGATGTACCGTTGATGTTTTTCGTAATGATGACAGATATGATTCCGAAGCTGCATCAACAGTTACTTGTAATGACAGCCAAAAACACGGTCTGATTCGACAATCAACACATACGAACCTTACTGGGAGAAGTTTAGGAGTTTTTGCGTCAAGGCAAAAGTGGCATTTCTTCCCGCTGCGGACCTACAGGTGCACTCTATCTCGTAATGCTACCGTCTCTGGCGTGTAGCTCACATGTGCCCATATTAGCTTCGCCCACTGGATGACAGGCTCCGCCAACCCGGCATGGGGCCCCATTCACGACACAAGTAAGCGATTATACCAAAAGACACTGCCCCCGACCAGCACGGGTGAAGGAATCTGTCTCCCTTCATCATGTCCACGTGATGGCTAGGCCATTTCTCCAATCGAGCCAACCGAGCACATATCAGAAAGGACTCATCGTACTGCTCACGTACACCGCATTCTTGCGATTCTCAAACTTAGTGGCAATCCAATGGGAGGACATTCAATTTGACGCAACGTAAATGTGGCTTCTAATCCCACATTCAAAGATAGACCTGTCAGAATATTATGCTATAGCCTGTAGTGGGGTGCTCTATAGCAAGTACAACCCAGTTAGGGTTTGCTATTTGTATCTCAACTGCTGCTAGTGAACCTCCTCTTTCTGCTTCTAAACTTTCTACTGCTAAGTTTCTAACATGCTATCAGAGCAGGTCGACCCTCCTGGGTCGATCCTGTGGGTGGGCCCACCACCTCACTGCTTCCGCTGCTACTGCTACTCTGCGTATTGCACGCCCCGTGGCGTGCGACGGATTTTTCATCCCGCCGCGCGCTCGGAGCGTGCGGCGGTTTTCTGCCCGCCGTGCGCCCCGAGGCGCGCGGCGGCTTTCTGCCCCGTCACTCCGCGCGTCGCCCCCGGGAGGCGCTGCGACGGGCGACGGGGACCCGCGTGTCACCCCCCGTCGCCCGTCGTGGCCCGCGCGACCTGCGTAGGGCCCGCGCGCGGTCCGTACTGCCTGCGCGCGGCCCGTACGGGCTGCGCCAGGCCCGCGCGCGGCCCGTACGGGCTGCGCCAGGCCCGCGCGCGGCCCGTACGGGCTGCGCCAGGCCCGCGCGCGGCCCGTACGGGCTGCGCCAGGCCAGGGCGCGCCTCGGGCCGCCCGCGCGCGGTTCGTACGGGCTGCGCCAGGCCCGTGGGCGCCCCGTTTCCTCTTCCCTTGAGCCGCACGCTGTCCCCCGCGCTTCTGACGGCGCCCCACCCCTGCTGCTGCTCGTGCTACTGAATTAGGGTTTGGGGGTGGACTGTATGGGGGTGCCGTCTCTATCAGCCATCCCCTGCTCCTCCTCCTCCTCCGTCTCCCACTGCTGCAGCTGCCGCTGAGGGGGGTGGATGTGTTGGAGCCGTCAGAGTGGTATGAGGGGGTGGCGTGCAAGTGGAGCTAGGGGTGAAGCAGTGGGTGTGTGGGGGGTGTGTGGGACAGTTGGAGGAGGTTGAGTGGAGGCAGCCGTCGTGTCGTCCGCAGCGCCTGTATTCCGGGGTTCTAGTGGCCGCCGGTAGCTCAGAGAGCCGGTTGCACCTGTCGCCCGTGGGTCCGTTGCTCCTGCCGCTGCTGATCAGCCGCAGAGCCTGTTACTCCTGTATTCCGGGGCACTTGCTCCCGGTAGCCAATGAGTTGCACCAACGCTTCTGTTGCCCGTGTGTCTGCAGCTTCAGTCGTCGCCTCCCATCTTCTCTCCTCTCGCCAGCCCTCCTCCTCCTCACTTGCCCTCTGTGACTGCCTCTAGCTTTGCTCATAAATTGTGAACTACTGCTATGATTGCTTGTTGTGCTAATTACACCCCACTTTGGCTATGGGGGTGTGTCAGAATGTTATATTCTCTAGCCTGCAGTGGGGTGCTCTATAGCGAGTACAACCCAGTTAGGGTTTGCTATTTGTATCTCAACTGCTGCTAGTGAACCTCCTCTTTCTGCTTCTAAACTTTCAACTGCTAAGTTTCTAACAAGACCAGCAGGGCAGGGGTGTGTGGGTCCCCGTTGCCACATCGGATGGACCGCTCTGCCCGGTGAGGTGCACCCGCCATTTCATCAGGCTAGCAGAATACGGGCCGACAACCAAAGGGCCGCTGATACGTGTCTTCCGCCGCAACTCACCACCGACCCCATTAGATAAAGCCCCATCTTACCCCACAATCCGTGCATGGTGCATGCAAGAATTCGAAGCCGCAAGAATCAACCCAAAACACACACAACTCGGCACACACTCTATCGCAGCCAGTACAAGAGTCCCATATCGCATCTTCGAACGATTTGGGCACTAGCGAAGCGAAACATCACGTGACTATCTCGCAGGATTATCTTATCGCAGCATCTCGTAACATCCATGATGAAGCTCATGCACCATCCCCCTCACAGCATTATCACTCCATCACGAGGCACCGCCAACCTTCTCTCCACATGTCTCAAAGGACCCTGTTGGAATAAGACGTTGCATTTGCAAGGCAAATCGCAAGCTTTCACAATATGTAGATTTTTTTATGTGTGTAACACTTTTCAAAATTGTGTATTGTGAATAGCGAAGCGAGTTGTACCGAAGCAAAGGCTTCGGCGAACCGCTACTTCCCCTCTTTTTCAGGTGTTCTCACCTTGCGCGACTCGTCAGGTGCCATAAAACGTACCTTGCAATCTGAGGGGGGAGGCGAACCACGTGGCAAAATGGCTCAAGGGCGTAAATTTTCTGTATAACCTTCTCTAACGATTGGAAACGATGTCATATGTTTCTGAAACGTGCATCATCTTACCTAACCGCATTGTACGTATTGTGCTTGTACAGTAGGTGATAAGACCATTCTGGACGTGATGACGTTCCACAATCCGTGCATGTTCTGCAACCAGATGCTCTACTAGCGCGAATGAGGGTACACTAAGTTTGACATGGTGTGAGAGCAGGTTCCATC